AATATAGATAGACATGTGACATATCGCGAGATTGAGGCGTACTTGAAGATCTCAAAGACCTCAATTCAAAAAATTTTACATGAAGAATCAGGTGTAAGAAAATTACTTTCTCGTTGGATGACTGATGACTGAAGAGCAGAAAGCAGCCAGGGTTAATTGTGTACAGCATTGTTAGTGGTGATGAATCGTGGATTTACTGTTATGAACCAGAAAATAAACGACACTCGGCTGTTTGGGTGTTCCAAGGTGAAGAAAAGCCAACAAAAGTCATCCGTTCTCGAAGTGTTTAGAAAAAAATGGTCGCAACATTTGTGTCAAAAGCGGGTCATATTGCAACAATTCCTCTTAATGAGCAAAGAACTGTTACTGCGGATTGGTATACCACCATTTGTTTGCCAAAAGTCATCACCGAGCTTCGAAAAATCAACCCCGAAAGAAGAATCATCCTCCACCAAGACAATGCAAGCTTGCACACAGCCCAAAAAACAAGGCAGTATTTAACGGAAAAAAACGTGGAATTATTGGGCCATCCTCCATATAGTCCCGATCTAAGTCCTAACGATTTCTCTACTTGCCCGAAAATTAAAAACAGACTGCGTGGTCAAAGGTTCCAGTCACCAGAAGAAGCAGTTGACGCATTAAAAAATGCCGTTGTGGATCTTCTAGCAAACGAGTGGAATGAGTGCTTCGAAAATTGGTTCGAGCGGAGAATACTTCGAAAAACAATAAAGTCATTTAAAACTACCTAAGGTGTTGTTTCATTTCCATATGCAAAACTTAAAAGACATCCCTCGTGTATTACATCTCTGGTTTTAATTGGCGAGAGGAAAAATCAGGCAAAGTCCAGTACACTCAAAGTATTTCGGACGTTGACTAAAATGAATGGCCGGTCACCCTTGACACCCCTGTCAAGCTTTGCAAAACGTTGAACTTTGACACCAAACATTCACCCTGTAGGTTGTTATGCTTCTATTCCCGTCAACATACAGCGTTTCAAGAGGGTACGATAGTCCGTAAAATCGTATTCGTTATTCTATAAATATGTTTTGTTTTCGATTCACACTGCGGTGCCCAAAATGTACCGCAGGTATTTCAAAACGCAAACCACAATTTCGACGATATATTTGGATTTTAAAAAAAGGAATGAAACACGCAGTGTTTATTCTAATATTAGGTTTTAAAGTGAAGGTATTTGAACTCTCGTAGCTATTTATCCAGAACGTAGTTCAAACCAATACATACACGCACTATCAGCGAAATTTTAAAAATAAAAAATTGTTTCCAGAAAGCTTTTGAACAACTTATCCTCCACATCCTTTTTCTGATCTATAATTAAAAATTCACTGAAACTACTAAAAGTCCAAATTGAAAATGCCAACTGGATTCTATGGATAACAAGTAGGTACATGTTTAGAAAAAACAAACAACCCGACTGCAGTAACTGAAAAGTATGATTATTTAATTGTATCGAAGTAGTCTAGTGACACCTCGTATGTGAAAGAACTTTTTATTAAAATCAGCTAAGTTGTTTTTATAAAAAGCTGTTTGCGGTGTATGGATTTCAAGGATTATTTTATTTATTAGCTTCTACGATCTTACAAAAGCATTTGATTGCATCCAGAATTACACTTTGCTTCAAAAAATGGAGCTTTATGGTTTTAGTAATAGCCTGACCTAATCACCTGCTATTTATCACACAGAACAGTTTTCAATATTGTTTATCTAACACTGTACATATTAAACACAGAGCTGCCCAAGGAAGTGTCTTAGGACCGATTCCTTATTAATTTGCATGAATGAATCAATGTATATTATTTACGGATAAGCCGACATCAATATCCTCCAAACATAATTTTTATCAGGTATTATTCGATGCTCAATGAATAAATCATCATTATTATTAAAATCCACCATTTTGTTTTTGTGTAATTTTAATATAGCCAGTGTCCCTCCCACAGCTAAGACAAACCCAACAACACCTCATATGTCAAAGTCCATTAAGCCAATTAACGTGTAGCGTGTGCAAATTTTAAGGTTGAACTATTTTATTGAAATCAGACATTTTGTTTTGATAAATATTTAATTCATCCAGTGTCAGTCTCAAAATTGCCATTATTATGAAAAAAACGGTGATAATGTAAGAGTCAAACCTGATGGCGCACAATCTTGGCAACTACCCGACCTAAACATCAGCATCATTGAGAGGAACAAAGTCCATTAGCATATCAGTATAAAGCATCAGAGAAACGTACGATGTCTGAAAATTAAGTGATGAGACTGGCAACGCAGCGTTCGAAATGGCAACACTGGAGGCGCCGGGCTTAGAGGGGAGACAAGGGAACATATGCGCAAGTAGCAATTTTTTTGTGAAACAGCAACGTGTGCCAGACTTGAATTCAGTGCAACGGAAAATCTTTCTAAGCTTTAGCAGGCTTACCGAGATAGTTTTGTCAAGAGCCCAGATTTTTCGATGGTTTAAGACATTTTCAGAAGGGAGAATGTCGATTGAAGATGAACATATAGACAGAATCAGGGATCTTGTGCGTTCAGATCGTCGGTTGACAATCATAATGATCGGGGACGAGTTAAATTTGACTCACCCCACCGTTCATCAGATCAAGAACAACTGATACGCGTGACTTGACTCCTTGTGACTTTTTTGGGACAGTCGAAAACATTCAAACGGCTGTAACCAAACAACTGAAGGCTATTCCAGTATTGGAGTGCCAGCAGTGCTATGAGGAGTGGAAGAACCGTATCCAGGGCTGTGTGGCTTCAGAAGGAATTTGTTTTGAGGGTAACAATATAAAATTGTAATTTTATTTGAATTGGAAAAGTTAAAAAAAATCAGCCTCTTCACTCAATTTACAGAATCATATTGAGACTGTATATTAAGTGTTACCAATTAGCCGGATAGCTCTCTTCAGAATTGATCTTCAAGCCAGGTTTGGACTCACAGTCGTATGATGGAAAAAAAGGGATTCCCACTAATACAATATATCAGCCCTTGTATAAAGCAGGGAGGTTTTATGGTGAGAAACATTTATCAGTTCTGGTTTAATACATCTGAATTCTCGTCGATGTATGGGAATTAACTTACTTGCTACCTGTTTTTTTTTTAACTTTTGTTTTTGCGCGGAAAGCAGTATCGCTCACTTAATTATATAAGATCAAGAGTGGCAAGACGGTACTCCACTTCATAATGGAACTACCTAATTAGACAGGTTCTGTATGTTTTCCTTCTCAGATCCGAGATGATCATTAGGGAGCGACTATAGGAAACGGACAGAATAATTTGCTGGAAAGCAACTCGAAATGTAAAAACTATCCGCCAAGCATGCGAGAGTATATGAAGCAGGTTTCGAAAAAAAACGAGTAGGTAGCGAGTAGCCACAATATTCTTACGCTTTCGTGGGAAAAATTGATTAATTCGCTAGCTGTTTTTCCGTACCGTATGTATGAAATTTCGGAATCTTAATTGTCATTTGTAACCGTTACATAAGCTGTACAAACAGCACGGCCAATCCTTGACACCTATATGAATGTTCGACTCGCAATGTACACCTCTGATTGTTTACTTTAAAACGTTAAAATAATTACGTTTCCGGTGTTTGAGAAACTGAAGGGAGATTCTTGATATCCATTTTGTATAACAACAGAATGGATGTCAATTCAAGAAATTTTTAAAATCTATTTTTAGTTCATCTTGTATAGCGAAGCAGCCGCGCTGACAGAGCTTAAATACCCAGGTAACAGTGACAATATTAAAGATATACTGCTGCCCGTTTTTTAAACTCGCTGAAGTTAGTACAACTAAGTAAAACCTACTCTGGTAGATGCTTTCACATTGTCGAGCCATTTGGTTGTCTGTACAGATTTTTTTGTGAAGATGTGACAGATGAGTAGCCTAAGCACAGACTGATTTGATAGAAAGATAAGCTGTTTATAACCTTAAACAGGACTGCCAACCTAACTATGGCTATCCACTTCCAGCTTTCCAAACAACCCCCATTCACAGTGGTCTACAGAGTAAGAATGATAAGCTTGGCAAATCCATTTTGCAGAGCTAAAGCTCTATCACATCATAGAAGAGGGCTCAGAGGATTAAAATCTGTTGCCATGCTGATAGAAGAGGGTTAAGTCACCAAAAGCATGAGTATGGTGTAATAAGAGCAGCAGTACTCCAGATATGTGAGCAATACTCATAGCAAGGTGTTATGATGCCTTGTACATAGCAATTATATGCCACTTTATTAGCATAAAAGTTAGATATATATTTTTTTTAATGAAACAACCAAATTTGTCTGAATATGTAAAAAGTTGTTTAATGATCTCTTCCTTAGAGCAGTTTGTGCTGCTTTATAAGCTCTCACCTTTTTTGAAAATCTCAAATCAATGACAACAACAGGGAATACCAAAGGCCTTGTAAAATGTTAATTAATGTAAATAACCATGAATCATTCTTCGAAGTTGCATGAGACAGGGGTATTCATATTGTGTAGACCCACAAAGGGGAAAAATCAATATAAGGAATTGAGAAGGGATTTTACAATTTATACAGGGACTAAAAAGCAACATATTAGGTGGCTATTAACACAAATTCAGACAGAAAAGTGTTTGAATTGATGTAAGAATAACATAGCAATAAGGTTTCCTGTTTATTTTATATCTTGTTTTTAGAATTCTAATATTCAAACAGTATATTTACTTTTATACATTTGCAGCTATTGCAAAACATTACAAATTTTTGGATTATATTAATTACATGCAAAACAGTCCTGAATGTATTTGACATATGATGTATTGTCAGTGATGTCAGAAAATAAAAATGAATAGAGTGACTATAAGGCTGTGCAACAATAATAATATGATAAAAAAAACTCTATTGTGGAAAGACAAAAAATTCTGTCCTCTACAGGTTCAAGTTGACACTATGCATGAAGATTTGATAATTGAATAGAAAACAATTCAATTGAAGTTATATTGGATTGAAAACTTACCTCCTCCCTGCATCATTCTGTAAAATTTTGATTCTATGTGTAACTGAGGATGCCTTGTCTTCACACATTCTAGTTTGATAGCGACCTCTTCCCCTGTTGAAATGTTAGTTCCTGTAAAAGAAAAGCAAATTAAGTAACTTTAAGGTTTTATAAATAATGTTTGACTTGTTGGTCACATTAATCCAATCAAGAGAAGAACACTCTTAGCTAATCAATTTGGGACCAGAGCTGCTGACTATTGCACTGTTCTATTTATGCTGAAAATAGTATAAATCTTCAATATATACAATACAACTGATAATCAGATATTGCTCTTAGAGACATTTTGTCCTAATTTCATCAGTGTTATCAAACTTAACAATTCAATGACTAACTGTTGAGCTTTTCGGTTTGTTCACACAGTATTATACTGACAGTAACAAGCATAGATGTGATAGTCTCATATTATGTTGATAAGAAAATTTTCATGGCAGTGAGACAAAACTAAAGAACATGGCAGTTTTGACATAAATAAATTTCTGAGCATAAAGGCTGAGTGTAAATGTATATGTAAGAGAGACAGATGGATGTATGAAATTAATTCCTGTAGTTTTACTGTAACCTACCAAAACTGTGAAAATACCTATAGTTCCAAACTATAGAGTAATGATTAAAATTATCAAGTTGCTAGATGTAGAATGCTCTAAATATTTTTGAAAAAAAATTGGGATAACAAGTTAGCAGATTTAACAAGAGATGGGTAGCTTGGAAATTGATATTACTAATAAATGATTGAAACAAATCAATCCAAAATTATCCACATTTGTCTATGCAATTTTCATTTCTGGTTCTTGGAACACCTATAATCAGCTCAAAATCTTCATCCTCACTTGAATATGTTCCAAAGTAATCATCACCCACTTTTTGAATATTTGTACTAAATGGCACAATACTGATTTAGGTTTGATATATGTGAGAAGATTTAAATGGTAGAAAAAGCACAAAATTGTGGCCACAAAATCCATTGATGCCATTTATTCTCTAAACATGAACTGGTTCAGAATCGACTCAGAATTTGTTGCAGCAGAGAGCTGTCAGTTATGGAATTAGTTCCATCTTCTGTTTCAAAGTAATTTTGATCTTTGCATGCTCTGTTCAATCCACAGTTTGTTGGAACAAAGCTATAGAAGAGTTAGAGGAGTACTCTGGGTACATCTAGATAATTAAGTTTTAATATAATTTTGTAGTGACTATTTCTTTTTGAGATTTTGTTTTCATATTGTAAATATGGAGTGAATGATATAGATCTTAAAGCATAATTAATCAGTGAATTGCTGAATATCAACTGCATTGTAAAAAATGGACAGTGTCAGTTGTTCATAACACCTTGTTTAGAATCATAAAATCAAAAATAATTCAATCACATCAACTATGATAAAGAAAAACAACTAAAAGCATTTCTAGTTTAGCAACAGTGAGATTTCTAATATTATTCATTGCACTGCATTAGTTCAGTGGTACTTGCACAATCATATAATTGTAGTTCTTTTGGTTTATATCCTTCATAAAAACTACTGTCTAACAAAACAGATGATGGAAAAATTATGGATCTTGCTTGGAAGCACATTCATGCTGTTAACTTTACCCCGCCTCCTGATGGTTCCAGAACAACAATAAGGCCATATAGAGAATGATTTCTACACATTCCACGTTTCCCAATAGTACAAAAAGACAGGTACCTGCATGTTAGACCCTTTTGTTTACAGTGAAAACTTACACGGTACTCACCTAGATATATATCCCCGAAGGAACCTGAGCCTATTTTACGACCCAGCCTATATTTGTTGCCCACTCTCAACTCCATCGTGACTTCAATACAGAATCTCACACGACAAAAGACACTATACTCGGGTTCATTCAGGCGGCCATGTTACGTCGCGGCCACATTAGAGCCCAGCTATTTGACGTTATCTAACGCGTTTCGGATCTGTTAGCACCCTTGAACGACTGAGGAGGAAAGTTTCTATTAGAATCTATCGAAAATTTATCACAGATACGTCAGTTTTTTATACGGCTGCGTCGGATTTGACGATTTTTCCCTTTCATAGTGATCACGATGACACATACAACTCTGGCACGAACCACAAACAACTGAGAATAGACGGATCTAGGCAGTGTTGCCGGGTTATCACTACATTTTTCGTGGATAGCTGTCATTGATAAATGCAGGGACGGACTGAACAAATACAAGTAGCTCGATCACTTCTTGGTCACGCCCGGGTATTAAGTAAAAAACCTATAAAACGTGAAAAAAAATCTATAAAATGTCATCTCGCAGACTAGGTAGTCTTTAGGGTGCAAACAGTCATTCCACGTTTGCTCACTAGGGTGTTTGTGAGCGTTCATCTAGGAATTAATAGCTCAACAACACGCTTTGTTGGTTGCATATGTTTTGTGAAGCCGAGTAATCTGTAGTTTTCATCTCTGAGAACACACTTGGTTGAATAGCAAAATTGCATCTGGATGATTATGAGTATTTGTCTGCATGTGTATAAAATCAGTCATATTTGCTGTGTGAGAAAATCATTACTAAATACTCTGCCAATGAAGTATATCTATTAGCTGTGCCCGACGGGTTATTTCAAGGTTATGTTCACAGTTATAAATTACAAAGAACTGAGGAGAATTAGTAGAAATCACCACCGCGCCCGCGTTGTGTGTAATTACTGTTACCATGTATATAGTTTGCAATTCGACAGTATACAGTGAAAATAATTATTTCTTATCTCTCTCATTTTTGAAATTCAGCAAATTTGCATATCTAATTTCCAGAATGGATAAGGAAAAGTGGATGCTAAGTTAACATCTTGTAAGAAAACCTACATGATGCCACAAAAAACCAATACAATGTCAAAAACAAATCGGCATAATGTCAATGTTCAAGATACGTAATACCCGTGCCGTAAGATGAAGGAAGCACTACAATGTTCTTTTTTGCAAAATCCTTGTACAAATATACCAGCGCAATTTAAAGCGTAACATTATACTGATTTGTTATGACCCTATATAGTTTTTTTGACAATATGTAGGTTTTGATCTAGCTGACATTCACCTTATGCTCACTCGTACGAGTAGTAGGCGTGGAAAGCTACAGCAACAGCAGCGGCCTCCTAGTGCATATTCTATAGATTGCATAAGTGGTGGAGATACAGGAAATTTTTACGTAATAACCCTGCAGACCTATGTTGGAATCTTGTCAGCAGAATATATACAATATATCGTTCATCAATGCAAATGCTTGTCGAACCATCGGTCTACATGTTAGTTTTTTTTTATACTTGAACCTCCACGAAGTACTAAGGCGTAAACACCTATTGGGTACCGTGGTGCCATAGGGGGATTTAGGGGAAAGGGGGGACGCCACACGGAGTCTAGCGAGGTAACATGTGTGCATGCAACATGCACACATGGTGGCCCCGCCTTAGTCAGGGACCGTCTACCAACTACGGACAATCACAACAACCATAGCCAAGAGAAGAGAGAAGCAATTTCTCTTGGGACGTGATTACCACGGGGGTCTACCACTACGCCACCGTTGCTGCCTAGATAGTCACACACAAATTGAATCTGTAAATACATCCAGCATCTAGCGGTAAAATGATGATATGGTGCAAATACACTTTGATCCGAGAACAGTAATCATAGATCCGGCACTGAATATACTGATAGCTCTATCATACTTACGCGGAAATAATACTCACTCTGACAACATGGAGACTAAAGTTACATTAACACGTTTCCGCCGAACCTGATGTCCTGTATTTATCTCTCTTAAATGCAAGGATTTAGGCTTGAATTGAAAGTTGTCGTACGTCGTTGATAATTTAAGAATATTTCGCTCTTCAGGTAAAAGAATGAACTAACGTTTTACATCTTCTGTCCCTGTCACGTCTTTTTTTTGAAATATCTCTGTTTATTCTAACTTCTAACGTATTTCTAACCTCAAAATCCGCCAAAAAATAAAAAGGTTTTCCTTAGGCAGAATAATGGAGGAATCCGATAAAATAAAACCAGAAGATAGACCTATATTAAACAATCTACGGTACAAATTCTGCAAAGAAAATAATAAACACCTTTTAGAGTATCTGAAAACCGCTTCTGAACATCAAAGGAGTAGCTCTTGCAATCATGAACAACACAGATTGTTCCAGGAGCTGTATCCTATGGTATATGAAAATGACAAGCTTCTTTTAAATTTGTTATTTTAATTCAAAGACTTGTAGGATAGTGCGCTGAAGAATGAGCTCAGCAAATATCTTCACAAGCCTGTGGATGTAATAGATATAACTCTAAGTGAAGATGGTGATGAGAACATTGACGAGTCTTTAGAATCAAACCAGGATAGTACAAATAATATCAGCACTAAACTTAACCAAACAACAATAGATGATCTGATATATGCAATTAAAGAATGTTTAGGGAACCAGACATATCTGGACAGCAGTATTCTAAATAATTTACAATCTTCCAGTTTAGAGACATACCATGTTTTTAAAGATTTATCACAAGTTCTAAACCACAAAGAGGCAATTAATTTAGGAATATCACTAATATCAAGCTCTGTATCTAGTGAATTACTTATAGAGCATTATATCCACCACTTGTTAATCAAAGAGGTAGGTATTGAATCAAGTTTGGTTACATTAAAATTGTATAATTTTTATTTTTAGCTGAGCTTAGAATTTTCAGAAGGCTTACTGAATTTGATAAATGATGTTTCTTTGAACCATGAGGATATTTTGATTCAAGAACTAACAACATATTTATCTAACACAGAAGATAATTTAAAAATAAGCCTGCAGTTCTTAGAAAGGGTCAATAATGACTTGAAAAGTAAATTACTCAGGTATACCTTTATTTTATATATTTGTAAAGGTATGTTCACTCACTCCTTTCATAATAATATTGATTTAATATAATTCATGATTTTTATTTACAGAAGTATTGTCTTCAATAGCACTGACCTCAAAGGACATTTGATAAGCTGTTTAGAAGTTTTAATAAGTGCACATTCTGATTATGATACTTTAAATAGGTTGGTAGACTTAATGTCAACTTCTGCAAACAACTATAATCAAGATAAAAAATTTGGAAAGTTCTTTATTGTTGTTATAAAATGTGTAGGGAAAAATGTCACTGTATTAGAACAGCCTCTGAAACACATTGTGAACTCTCATAAATCTGTTTGGAAATCAAAGATGCAAAAAACACTAAACGATTCTATTCAAGATAATTTAATTTTAACTCAGAGCTTCAGATATTAATGCCAATAAACATATTTATATTCAATTATTTTATGTTTCTCACATTCCCATCAAAATGAATCATAAATATTCTGATACAAAAACAATATTTATGGTACTAACTTTTGTTTTTATTGAAAATTTTAACAGTTCCCTTGGCTTTTTTAATTTTCTCTTTAAGTTCTGTTATATTTACTGATATATCACTATTGCTTCTTTTACCGCTTGAGGTTGAAGGTTCTTCTGGTGGCACAAATACTTCATTTCTCTTTTCTTCTCTCTTTTTGGCAGCTTCAGCATGTTTAGCTTCTTTTTCTTTTTGCTTCTTGGATTTGTTCTGAGTCTTTGTAAGGAAATATTCTCCTGTAGCCAGTTGTTTGTCAATTTTACTCTCAGGTTGAGGTGGAGGGAAAGGAGTATATGGTTTCTTCTCTTTCTTCTTCGGCTGTTTGCGTTTGCTGATATTTTTATTCACAAACTTCGGAAGGAACCTTTCCCAGTTTTCATTCTTTAATTTTGGATCTTTGGCCAATTCCCTTTTGATCATCAGAGCTTTTATATTGTAAATTGGATGGATGTTTTTCATTGTATCTTCTACAATTTTCCTAACTTGTTGTAGGCCCTTGTAAGGTCCTAATGCAGATACAGTTTGACCTTGTACAAGCACATAACAATTTGTCAGTAGTTCTATTGATTTTAATGTACAGCCATTTGGTCCAATCAGTCTTTGTCTTCGTTTGACAAACTTTTCTTTATTTCTTGTGATTTTTCCAATTTTAATTATATCACATCCAACATCATCTTCTAAAACTCGCTTAGCTTGTTCAAAAGGCACACTTCGAGATAAGAGTTTTATCATATCTCTCGCTTTGATAATGATATAAGGGTCCCATGTTTTTCTGTTTGTACGTACTGTCATGCTACCTTCAATGAGGTCTAATTCAGCTTTTATATGGTGTTCAGCTAATGTTTTCTGCACTAAAGGCCATACCTGCTTCAAATATTGCTCTCTGTACTGTGGAAATAAAGTTGCAAAGCTACTTTCTTCTAATAGACCATGAGGGTTGTCTTCTGGTTTAAATTCTGGAATTTTCATGGACCAGGCATTTGCTATTGGACCTGTAGGATTTTCATCTGAAGACATCTTTATTTTTTGGCTATTATACCATACGACTCTCCTACAAGCCAACAAAAGCTCTTGAGAAATGCTTTATTTTTATTTTATTTTAACCACAACCACAGAACATACACTGACAAGTTTAGAATGACGTTAAATGACAGTAGCCACGAAACAAAAATTGGTGAGATTAGATGCCAGAAGATTGATAGGGAAGAGCACAAAACACATAAGACTAAAGGGGAGAGGATACTTGATTGCTGTAAGTATTATCGGTCGCCATATCTTTAAAATTGTAGAATACTTGTAGAGATCGTTAAATGGAAATAATAATGAGGTAATTCCACAATGTATGGGGGCTATAGATGTTGTTTACCGTTAGGTCACTCACACTGACAGTTTGCCGTAAGCTTGTTTCCGATTTTATAGTATTCTTTGTATACCTGCTTAGAAGATGGTAGTTTTCCTGAGAGTTAGTCACTGAATAAGATTTCTGGTCTACATCTTAGCGTTCCATGATTTCTATCTTCCTGTGCCATGTCATCTCTGTGGTTTGTTGTTTTTCACTTCTCACATTTTTTGAAGTTGTCTCTTGTTTTTTTTGTGCAAGCTTGTTGGATGTGAAATTAGAGAAAGCGGTTTTTGAATTTTGCAGTTTTTTTTTTGGAGAGTAGTACCAGGCCGGATGAAATCGTTTTCATTTTCATAAAGAATGGCCAGACTAACTATATGACTACCATTTATCGCTCTATACATTATAAATTTGTAATTGTGAACATTATAAGTTGTGATTTTAGTGTATGAAACTGAACAATAAAACTGGAGGCCTCTCTGAAAGTTATAATGAGTGGTAATAACAAAAATACAATCAGGTTTCACCAGTACCATGGTGAAAACATAGTGCTTTCAGAAGATAATACTGTGGCATACAGAAACAGGAGTTTTGCAAATGCAGTTACATTCAGTGAAAGACCACTGCAACCGGGGGAGATTTTTTTAGTGGAAATAGAACAAAATGAAAGTGGCTGGAGTGGACACATGAGGCTAGGTCTAACCCAACTTGATCCACATACCATATATCGCACTGGCTCTATTCCACAGTTTGCTTTGCCAGATCTGGCAGAGTCAGGCAGATCATGGATATATGGCATAAGTAAAGCTCATAATTATTGCATCTTTCCTCCTACTTTACCATCTAACGTCAGGTAAAGTTGATGTTGCCAAGGTACATGTTGTTTAAAAAGATTACTCTGTAGTTCACAAACTGTACAGTCTCCTTTGTCCTAACAAATTTTCTATCTAGAACTACTAACTACTCAATTAAATTTGCATGTTGATGGAGGAAAATCGAATAGAGGAGAAGCAATATCCTTCCACACCTAATCAATTAAATGCCTAGACATAGTGATACGTGTGCTGTGACAATTTTTGCATTGGTTCTCTTCTCATTGCTTCTCTCCAGTAGAGATAACAATTTAGAGCTAAGGTTTTGTATCTTCATTGAAACAGTACTCCATGTATTCTTTTCTCCATTCTAGTTTCCGAAAAGGAATAACTAGCGCATTTCAGACAATGAATGGTGAAAACAGCTTTATCAAAACTTGTCGTGGGTCCTTGCCACTCAGCTTATTAAAGCCATTAAGATCTCCATGTGAAGATATCCTTCCTACTGACATGGGAAGCCGAATTGGGGTTATATATGTGCCAACAGATCCACAGCATGCGAATATGCATTATATCATTAATGGTGAAGATCAAGGACCTTGCATAAGAGGCATTCCATTCACAACGGCACCACTACATGTTGTTGTTGATGTCTATGGTACCACCAAGAAAGTACGGATTGTACAGTTGTATGTTGGTAAGCTGGCAATGAGATGAATTACTCAAGGTGGATTTGTTATTAAAAAAAAATGTTCTCTTGAGAATCAAAGCTTAAGCTTTATACTAGATACTAAAAAAAGCTATCACAGTATTGAAGGTTACAGTGATTTTTTAGACATGTCAAATATTCTAGGTATATGGATCAGACTGGTATTTGGGTAATATCCTGTTATTTTCAGAGATTTTAAGAATCTGAGACTCTATATATATCTTAATTTTTATCTTTTTTAAATGTTTATCAATACAATAATGTACTTAATAGTCATAGCAAAATGCTAGATTTAGTTATAAGTAATTTTGACTGTACTGTTGAGAAAGACTGCACTCCTTTAGTTGATGAAGACCATCATCATCCAGCAATATCTGTAACGCTTAATAAGATCTTTCCCAAACATGAATCTGTCAATTCAGTTATGGAACATAAACAATACAATTTCAAAAAAGCTGACTTCGTTGCATTGTATCAGGATTTGCAGTTTATTGATTGGTCATTTTTGGAAAATATTGGTGATAGTAACCAAGCGGTTGACAGATTCTATGGTAACATATACGAATTACTTGATATTCATGTACCAGTCTATAAAAAATTTAGGCATAGATATCATGTTTTTTATACAGCTGAAATTATTCTTCTAAGGAAAAGGCTGAATTGCATAAGAAATTTAAATTTTGACGCAATGCTGATGTTCATGAAAATTTTAGTAGGCTAAGAGTAACTGTTAAGCAGAAAATAAAAGAAGCTTTTGATCAGTAAACATGAATCGAAATCATTTTGGGCGTTCATGCATCAAAAAAATAATACTTCTAGGATTCCTGGACAAATGTCTGATGGAAATGAAATGTTAAATGATCCTAAACATATCAGTAATGCTTTCGCTAAGTTTTTTGAGTAGTACTAGCAAGGCCACTTAAAGTATTGTTTAATTTGATCCTGAATACTTCCGTTTTTCCAGACAAGTTTAAAATTGCTAAAATATGCCCTATATTCAAAAGTCAAGCTTCCAATATCGTCACTAACTACAGGGGAATATCCATTTTGAACAATTTTGCTAAGCTTCTTGACATGATTTTATATGATCGTATCTACCAGTCTGCAAAAAATTGCATTTCTATTTATCAACACGGTTTCACGAAGTTTCGGTCAACTATTAGCAACTTAGCGGTTTTTAGCCAGTTTTTATGTGAAACAGTTGACAGCAGGGGTCAAGTTGATGTAATGTATGCCGACTTTTCCAAAGCTTTTGACAAGATCAGTCATGAGATTCTCCTCAAGAAACTTTGTTATCTAGGTTTACAAAATAATTATGTCTTGCTATTAAAATCATATTTATCTAATAGACAACAATACGTATGTGTAAATAATGTGAGATCGGTTCACTAGCGGTGTGCCGCAGGGATCCAATTTGGGACCTCTTCTATTCTCACTTTATATCAATGATTTGTGTGATTCACTTAATTGCAATAAGCTATTGTTTGCGGATGATTTAAAAATATATATATCAGTATCCAGTGAAGAAGATTGTATCATCTTACAGGAACAAATCACTTTCCTACAGAACTGGTGTGTAAGAAATCATCTGCATTTGAACATTTCTAAATGCAAAGTAGTAACATTTAGTCGCAAGTCCAAGCCTATATCTTATCGGTATACTATTGAGAGTTCGACACTAGCAAGAACCGATTGCATTAGAGATTTAGGTGTCTATTTTGATAGTCAGTTGACATTTAATTTTCATGTAAGCCAAACAGCGCTGAGTGCTTGTCGCACATACGGTTTTATTGTTAGGAATTGCAAGAACTTCAATGACACCTCAGCATTATCGTCTCTGTATTTCAGTCTAATAAGATCTAAACTGGAATATGGCTCACTCATATGGAGTCCTACATATAGCCAATATATCGTTGCTATTGAAAAAGCACAAATGAAATTTTTGAAATTCATAGCTTTTAAAATCGATGGTGTGTATCCACCAAGAGGCTGTAGTTATCCTGAGCTGCTACATAGATTTGATTATCAGTCTTTGGAGAGCCGTAGATATAATCAGTTATCTGTACTTTTCTTGCACAAGTAGATTGTCCTGTATTGTTAGCTCAAGTAGACATTCTGGTTCCTAGAATAACATCTAGACAATTCAGGACTTTCCTGTGCAAAAGAGCTCAAACTAACTCAATTTTATGTGCCGAAATGCCCACAAAATTTCAAGTGCATGTGATATTTTTCGCTGTAGTGTCTGTGAATTAAAGAATAAATGCCGCGCCCATCTATGATGGATTTTGGTCAAGTTTTTCATGTTTCTTTTGTTTCTGTTTTTTCTGTTTTACATTTTGTGCTGTAACTACCACGTAAGCTTTACTACTGCTTTTTGCTCTGTAAATGGTGATCACTGTTGGGCAATAAACGCATTATTATTATTATTATTATTATTAAGAATTCTCATATCCTTGATACATTTTTTTGATTAGTTGTTGAGGTACCAAAAAATTGTTAAGGCTACATGATGTGAATAAAAAAATTGTAGAATTTACTTATAGAAACATATTCATAATTTTATATTAATGGAACCACCTATTAGTTGAAATTACAGCTTATTTCACCAAGTACCATTATGATTTAAATTATTCTTCTCAAAGCTTATATTAAAAAATATTTCTTGTGCGTAGGTGGGTTGTAGTGAAGTACAATGAAACATTATTTATGAAACATTGATTAAATGTGCATGATCAGTGAATTTTTCTATTGCAGTTCCTAGTCTGCAGTCAGCTTGTCGAGATGCCATCCTTCAGCACATAACAAAAAATGCAATCTCATCACTCCCTCTACCCAAAATGTTAAAGGAATACTTACTTTACCAGACTTGAGTATTAAATATATGTGTAAAGACTCTTGTGAAGCATGGTGTTGAAACAGGCCTTATGGATGAGGTCAGTCTTTACAGGAGGATATGCTAAATTGGGATATGCATTGTTTTTCCAGTCATTTCTTTTGAGAAAAGAAAGTAATATTTTGAATTTTAAAAGTTTATTGTTATTCCTGAACATATATTGAATGTTGCTACATTATTTTTGTGTAGTATAAGTGAATGCCTTTTATATGAATTTTATCATTTTTTTCTTTCTTAAATGATGTAAACCCCTTTTTGATAATAAAACTATAAAATTTATTTCCCAATTGATTTTTCCACATAAACTAAACTATTACTGTCATGTAAGTATACCCTATTTCACCAGTATCCATCACGGTAGAATGACAGCTGTTTATGTAGTAATATCTCAAATTCCCCATATCGGCACTGGAACAGGACACATAATTCTGACGCATCCGTCCACGCCAGGCAGTCAGAGCTGTAGTTTGTTTTGGTTTTTTGTATGCTACAGATTCATCTTGTACTAACAGCTCTTTTATTGAGAAAAGTTCATTTGCATACAAAAAACAAAACGACACAAACAAGTTTCAATAGATTTCTGCGCGATTCATCATAGCCAACGTTCCAGACTAACACAAAGATGTCACTTGTTGATCAGCTGTTCACCTCAGTAGACATCAAAGCATGATGGATACTCGTGAAATAGGGTATAGAAACAAAATATAGCATACTGTAATAACCTCTTTTACTGGGGTGTCACCGTGAAGATAGAGCCTAAATATCGGCGTACAACACGCCCGCTAGAAAGTTGTTAATGAAATTATTTGGGCACGAGTGCTAAACTGGAAGTATTTGTGGAAAGAGTGAGAAACAAAATTCAGCTGGGTCTGGCCCCTACCAGGTGTAGAACGCGGTGGCGTCGTGAGGATTCAGGTGAGAAAGCACCAGGTACCCCGTTTTAAAACGAGGGACTAGAATCACTGAGACCGAAGAAAGTGGGAGTGGTTCTCTTCCCTGGGAAATCATCCCAGAAATAATTGTTGACGTTTTCTGCAAAATATAGGCTACCTATTTCCAGTTCAGAGAATGAGAACCCAATTGTCTAGTTCTTGGTTAATGTATTTGAATGCTATGGAAATATTCTGAGCAATTCAAAACATATCTGGGAAGAAACAAATATTTGTCGGGGTCGGGAGGTCAATACATTCGTCCTGGGCTCTGAATTTCTACTCTTGGAAGTAATTTCGACCTGCCGTCGTACGTATGTTCAGGTTCAAATTCGGCTGACGTAATGTGTACGAGAGAGAAGCGTATAGTATGTATGTTAGAAAGAGTGCTCCGATGTCAACACGGCAAGCCGCAGCTGCGTCCGTGGCCTCATCACTTGGGGTGCTAGGCAACGAGGTTCTTCTATCTCTAACACTTGTATTGCACGCTGACGTCAGGGGTATATGGATTTCACTGCATGCAGTTATTTCAAACCAGAAAATTCGGACTATTAGAGAGTGTCAAATAGACACTCGTATGAACTAACCAACCGTTCGGGCCTCTCGAAAATTCGTAGTTGGAAACAACCGATAGTACATCCTTGTTAGGCGTTGATCAACGTATTCTACCTGAAGATAAACCAATCATATATACTGTATCAATTCGCTAGGAATCTGAAAGAACCTAGCTCCCCCTATAAGACAGTAGCATAACTCAAAAATTAATTTAGAATTTATATACTTTGAAACGATGAGTTTTGTTGTGCATTGATTAACGTACATACCTGAAGAGAAGATGTGCAATCAAAATAGGCTTTAGATGGGTAACAAAAAAGGGATCGAGGATCCTAACACCCTCTGTATGAAATATTAGCAGAACCAAACACTCCAAGTCTGTTCAAGCATGACGACGTCTTCTTCTACTTCGGTTTTGTCTGGACTTAGCCCTGCGTCGCTTGTTTTTAGTAGGCTTTCAAATGAATTTTGGTGTTCTGACAACGTCTCATAGATGACGCTAGGATATTTCAGATCACTTTTTGGTCGCCGAAATTTGGTATATGGTTGGCTATCTGCAGGTAAAATACGTTAATCAACATTGTAACTGCGGAATTAGTGCTAGGTAGACTATTTTTTGTCAGAGGTTACGAGCCAAATGTACACTGTTTTTGGTCACAGTTAAATTATATATTGTCTTTTTCACGAGTATCCATTACGGTAGAATGACTGCTGATTATTCAGTATTCTTTCAAAATTCCCCATGTCGAAAAATGCCTCCTTCCCCAGAGGGAACTGCTACAGGTGTACATCATCGTTGCGATGACCAATTCCGCGAGAATGACGATATTGGCATTCACCATGCACAGTTCATGCAGCCCACAGTAGTGTGGAAGCGATTACCGACTGTAATGTACGACCATCGTCGACGATGCTTGTCCATCGGGGGACGGCGTTGCACGCATCGACACCCGACTGTATGAGATATTTCTAACATTTAAGGGCAAAAATGTACGGGAACAACTATGATGATTGAAATATGCCTAATCTGTGCCTAGAATTACTAAGGTTGGAGGCGTATAAATATACCAACATAAAAAAATTGACATATATCCTCTTCCACCCCTGACCCCCAATTTTTAAGAATTACTACCTAGGACAAAAAACGAGATTTGAGTGATTTTTATTTTCTTGTTTTAATCTTTTTTCTATGCTGTCAGTGGACCGATTTTCAAAAACTAAAAATCTTTTGGGTCCTTGGATAATACCAACATTGTTTTAAAGATTCATCGAAATTCGAGCGGTACTTCTCAAGTTATAAGATTAGCGAACAGACAGACAGACCGACGGAAATGATGACATGATTTTTTGTGATGTACATGTCATATAAAATCCAAAAACCTACATCTCATTTTTAAAAAATTTCGCAATTACAATACTTTCCCGTCAGTAGGCGTGGGAAGTAAAAACCATTAATTTCCGTTGGTATGTCTCTGTTGTCTTCGATCCTCATTTTTAGGAGTTTTTTACTGGGTAAGTACCATACCAAAGACGAAAGCAAAGTTTTGAAAATCGATCCAGTGGCGGCGGAGTTATGAGCTAAACATGACTTCAAACTTTGCTTTTTGAGGTTTTTCGGCTATCTGATCAGTCTAGAGTGTATATATATATATATATATATATATACAGGGTGGCCAAACACGTGACGTCATAAAAAAAAATTAGATTCCCCACATCGAGAGGAACCCAAATCACCCCCATATTTATGGTCCGATTTTGTTTAGTTTAGGAGTTATGACTTTTTTTCGGATTTTTCGAGAATTTTTGAGTTCTGTGTTTATTTTTACCATAACCTCGTTAATAATTGTGATAAATGCCTGATTTTTTCACGATTATGTAGCTAAGACCTAAGGCTTAACTATCATATAATCATTCAAGTCATGTAACTAATACTACTTTTTAATTTTTTTCAAAATCTTCGAACATAACAAAAAAGTAAAAAAGTGCAACAACTTTGAACGTTTATAAAAAATTGAAAAAACATGTTCTTACTATTCGTAAGTATCTTAAAAACTTCCTTACGGTATCAGCTATTTACCGTAAAAATTTCATCAACCTAGCTTTACTACATGCTACCGTAATTGTGGCTCAAATAGAACCGAACCCAAAATTGGATAACCCTCTGCTCAATAGAAATTGTTAGTTTCGGAAAAAAAAATTGCAAAAACCACAAAAACACGTTTGATTTTTACTGAACAGCAGATTATTATTCATTTATGTTATTTACAAGAGGTTTTCAAAATGTCTGCCTCTAACAGAAATGCACAGTGTACACCCTCGTATGAAATTTTGTTTTAAATCTCTAAATGCTTGTGTGTTGTTTTTCAACACATGTGTCGCTTCTTGAATTTTGTTCCTCAATGAATTTTCATTTGCACATTCTTGGGCGAATGTTATGTCTTTAAAATATCCCCAAACAAAAAAATCAATGGGGTTGAGGTCAGGGGAGCGTGGAGGCCATCGTATCGGTCCGTTTCGTCCGATCCATCTGTCTGGGAACCTTTCGTTTAAGTAGTTTCGCACGATCGTTGCATTGTGGCATGGTGCACCATCATTCTGGAACACCATGTTCCGTCTGGCTTCCAGGCTTGAATCTTCCAGCAATAATGGTAGGCTATTTTCAAGGAAGCTTTTGTAGGCTACCGAATCCAACCTTGACGGCAGTTCAAATGGACCGATAAATTCCATATTGAATATTCCTGACCACATGTTCACACTAAAACGGTGTTGAAATGTCGACGGCCTTGACTGGTGGGGGTTTTCAACAGCCCAAGTATGTAAATTATTGCAGCATTATATGCAGAAATGCATTATTATTATGGCGTTGCTCAAGGCAACGGCGCTTTAGCAGCTCAGCTGTACCGGGAACAACTTATACGCCGAGGCGGACCACAACCTGAGCATTACCCAGACCACCGTGTTTTTATTAACACACATAACACTTTCATGGCAGGCCGCATTCCAGGACGAGGAAGCAATGAAGGATATCCTACAGCTGATCCGGATCGCAGAGAAGTAGTACTTGAAGAAATTAGCCGGAATCCCTCAACGAGTACGAGATCTATGGCACAAAACCTTAGAATACCACGAACATCGATACAAAATATTCTTCATGAAGAAGGTTATCATGCCTATCATGTTCAAAGAGTTCAAGCGTTGATGCCTTCAGATTACCAGTTAAGAGTGGATTTCTGCGAGACAATGCTGCGAAGACAACGAGAGGATCCCGATTTTTTTGATAAAATTTTATGGACTGACGAGTCACGTTTTGAAAGAACAGGGATATTCAATATCCATAATTTACATACTTGGGCTGTTGAAAACCCCCACCAGTCAAGGCCGTCGACATTTCAACACCGTTTTAGTGTGAACATGTGGTCAGGAATATTCAATATGGAATTTATCGGTCCATTTGAACTGCCGTCAAGGTTGGATTCGGTAGCCTACAAAAGCTTCCTTGAAAATAGCCTACCATTATTGCTGGAAGATTCAAGCCTGGAAGCCAGACGGAACATGGTGTTCCAGAATGATGGTGCACCATGCCACAACGCAACGATCGTGCGAAACTACTTAAACGAAAGGTTCCCAGACAGATGGATCGGACGAAACGGACCGATACGATGGCCTCCACGCTCCCCTGACCTCAACCCCATTGATTTTTTTGTTTGGGGATATTTTAAAGACATAACATTCGCCCAAGAATGTGCAAATGAAAATTCATTGAGGAACAAAATTCAAGAAGCGACACATGTGTTG